ACCAAAGAAATATTGAAAAGGAAGAACAAAGTTGGAAGACTCACATTTCCTGATTTCAAACTTACTACAAAACTACAGGGGTCATTACAATACAGGTTTGGCATAACAATAGACATATAGACCAATGGAAAGAACTGAGAGTCCAACAATAAATCCATACATCTATGGTAATTGATTTTTGATAAGGGTGCCAAGACCATTCAATGGGAAAAGAATAATCTCTTCAACAAATGGTGCTGAGATGACTGGATAACCATTTGTTAAAGAATGAAGTTGGATTCCTACTTCACTCCATGTACAAAAATGAACTCAAAATGGATCCATAACCTAAATATAAGAGTAAAACTGTAAATCTGCTAGAAAAAAAACATAGGATAAACCTTCATGACCTCATATTTAGCAATACATTCTTAGATTTGACACCCCAAACAAGAGCAATAAAAGAAAAAAATAATTAAATCAAATGTTATCAAAATTTAGAATTTTTGTTCATCAAGGAGATAATCAAGAAATTGAAAAGACAAATACAGAATGGGAAATCATATACCGATAAGGGTTTAGTATCTAGTATTCATACAGAATTCTTGCAACTCAACAACAAAAAGACAAACAACCCAATTTTAAAATGGGCAAAGGACTTGAATAAACATTTCTCCAAAGAAGATATACAGATATCCAAGAAGCACATGAAAAGATGTTCAACATTATTGGTTATTAAAGAAATGCAAAGTAAAACCACAATGAGATACCACTTCACACCCACTAGGATGTTTTTAATTAAAAAACAAGCAAACAGAAAATAAGTGTTCATGAGGGTATTCTGGGGGGCAATGAATGTTTTGGAACTTGATATAAATGGTGGTTACACACATTGTGAATGTACTAAGTGCCACAGAATTGTAAACTTTTAAATGGTTAATTTTATGTTATGTTAATTTTTCCTTAAAAAAAAGAATAAAAAAGACAACCCAGTTAGCATAATGTGTTCAAGGTTCATCCAAGTTATAACACATATCAGTACTTCACTCCTTTTTATGGATGGATAATCTGTCCTAGGTGCATACCACAATTTGTTTATCCATTCATCTGTTGATGAACAGTTGACTTGTTCTCACCTTTGGCTATTATAAATAATGCTGCTATGAACATTCATGTACACATTTCTGTATGGATACTGCAGTCCTTAACAAGAAACAACAACAATCCTAGGGTAGAGAGAAGAATCTGACTTCCAGAGTTACCACATTACATTATTCAAAATGTCCAATTCTCAACAACAACAACAACAAAAAATACAAAGAATACACACACACACAAAAAAAAAAAAAAAAAAAAAAAGGAAAAAAAATTCCAGGAGAGTATGGCCCATTCACAGGAAAAAAGAAGTCAACAGAAACCATTCATGAAGAAACCCAGACACTGAACTTACTAAAACCAAGAACTACTTGATTAACATCCGAGAAGGTAGGAAAAGATGAACACAGAAAAACAGTAGGAAAAAAATCTTTTTAAATAGCAAAGTGGTAGACTTGAGCAAGTCATATCAAAATTACATTAAATATAAATGGATTAAATGCATCAGTTAGAAAGCAAAGGTTATCCAATGAGATTTAAAAAAAGGAATACCAAATTGAAAGATGTACTGTAAATATAAAGATTTTAGTTAAAAGTGAAAGGTTGGAAAAAGGTACACTGTGCAAACAGCAAGAACAAGAAAGCTAGTATAGCTAAAATTACATCAAAGATACCCTTTAAGACAAAAGAGTATTACCAAAGATAGAGAAGGACATCTCATAATAATGAATGTATAAATTCATCAGGGAGACAATCATAAATGTAAAACCTATAATAACAGAGCTACAAAATACATGAAGGGAGAAGTAGACAAATCTACAGCCATAGTTAGAGTTTAACATCTTTCTGATTTGTTAGAATAATTTGATTTGAAAACTCTGTAAGGATATAGATTTGTATACTACCACAGACTACCTTGACCTAACTCACTATTGTATTTTCCTCTAATTTGGTCTTGAGGTCTCTCTCTAGAGAGTGGCTATAAATTCTATCCCTTCCCTGATAGTGTGTGTTTACATTGTGCCTTTCATGGGATACTTCTTTATTTTTTATTTTTTGGCAGCTGGCCAATAGAGGGATCCAAATCCTTTTTATCACACTCTAACCAGTACCACACTCTAACCAAGTGAGCTAACTGGTCAGCCCTTGGGAGATATTTTAAGAACAAAAAGAACTGCAAAGAAATTTTAAGCTATAATTAGTAGTTTTATTGTTAGTAGTAGTATTGGTATTGTTATGTTGAAACTAACTGAGATATATCAGAGGATAAAGCAAAAAAAAAAGTAAAAGCCAAGCATTTTAGTGTAAAAGAAAAGAGATACAAGGAAGTTAAGGCGATACCATATAATTGTAAGCATTAATTAGGATTATTAGTATAAGTTCATCTTTTTTTTTTTTTTCCTTTTTGTCTTTTTTCGTGTCCGGCAACGGATCGCAACCCTCAGTGCCGCGCCCGCACCGAGCGGGAACTGGTCTGTATGTGGGATCCGAACCCTCGGCGGGAGCGCCGCTGCGCTCCCAAGCGGCGCACTGCAGCAGTGTGCCACCGGGCCGGCCCTGTTTTTTATTTTTTAAAGATGACCAGTAAGGGGATCTTAACCCTTGACTTGGTGTTGTTAGCACCGCACTCTCCCAAGTGAGCCATGGTCCGGACCCTGTTCATTGTTTTTTTGAAATGTATTTCTTTACCATGTCCATTGCAAAGACCTAGAAGCAGTGGCAACCTAATAGCAATAAACACCTTAGTGTCCAGATTGTGGCCTCTGAATATCTCTAAGAGGAACCAGACCTCCTGAGAGAAAAAGCTAATTTGAGGTCTGAGGAAGCAAATGTATGAAACATGAGTATTGAATATTTTGTACCACAGCAAGGAAGCTCTCACATACTAATGAGATAAAAAAGTCAACTTGAAGATGTATCCACTCACCTAAGATAGGATATTTTGAGCACCAAAAATGAGTAATTGCAATGGGTGGAAACATATAAAATATTAATATGTAAAAATCCATGATTTATAATGATACAAAAAAATGACCTTACTGGTCATCACTGAAGATTGCTGGGGCACCTGTCCCTCACAGCCCTGCACCACCACAAGCACTAAAAGTAGGAAGGTGTATTCCTTGCTCCTGATTGCTGCCTCCAGATCATTTCTCTCTCCTTTTTGCTTAAAAAACTCAGCTCCTTTGAAGTGAGGTCATCAGACTAAACCAAGTGGTGCCTTTTGTTGAAGTTATCCACTGCTCCTAGTTACTTCTCATTCATTGAAGCATGTTAGCTCCTGGCTTCATTAACTACTGCTATGACCATTCTTGATGGCCCAATTCCCTTTTCTCTCAGATCGTTGACCTGCAAGTTCCAATGATCTCTTCTGCACTCCACAGCAGTGATCCCATGCTCCCATGGTCATCCTCTAAACTTCGATCTTATTAATAATTGAAACTCCAGAATCTCAGGTCCAAACATCCCATTCTTGAATTCCACTGCCTCTCCTGTTAGTTCCTTTCCCTTTGTACCCTCCCCTTCCAACAATTCTTTGACCCCCATCAAGCCCTCTGATCCATTGGCCCTACCCCATTTTCACCACCTGTCACTCCCACCGTGTGCCTCACTTGCTTCTTTACCCAGATCAGATCCCGTGGTCTATTACTATGATAACTTCTTTAACTTAACCCATCAGTTATCCATTGAACTTTTATGGCAAAACCTCAACCCTGGTGAAACCCAGCTCCATGTCTTCCCTGCACCTGAAATTGAGCAGCAGAACTTGGCTGAAGAAAAATTCACCACTGTGCTGACTGGTTTTTTCTTTTAGGTCCACGATTCTCAAGTGGGGGTCCTGAGCACAGGCTTGCAATCCGGCCACATTCTGTCAGCAATTTGTCCCACATCTGTCTGAGATAACTATTCCAAACCTCTCCCACTCCTCAAATGAACATTTGCCCCTTCATCACTGAGGTCAAAAGCTTGAGCTCTGGCCTCAAAGTGCTGCCTGTACTTGCATCTCAGTGTGGACGCTGACCTCAAGTGGGTCGCTAGACTCTGCACATCCACCCACTTCAGTGAAATTGTGAAAATAATAGTACTTACCTCATAACTTAGTTCTGAGGATTAAATGGAATATTGCATTTAAAATGCTCAGAGCAGTACTTGGTATACAGTAAGAGCTTCCTCAATGTTAGCAACTACTATCACCTTTTACAAAAGAAGAAACTGGGATTCAGAATTCTGGAAGATCAGCCAATAGTTCATTTAGCCAGGTTCAGCCAACGGCTGCCTCGGTCTTAACTGCAGCTCTTTTTTTACACGTACATATACAAATCCTTATATTTTCAGTCCTTATTCTCTTAACTTCCTAGAAGTGAAACATTTGCATGTAACTTGAGTTCAGCCTCCAGACTTCAGTCAGATTGACCTTATCTCCAAATCTGAAGCCACCATGTTTAGAGCCTGGAAAATCCTGAGTCCTTGACCATCATTTACTAGCTTCATGACACTGAGCAGATTTAATGTGGCTAAGCCTCAGTTTCCTCCTTTGCAAAATGGGGAGATTATAAAGACTAAATAAGATGATGTATATACAGGGCTTGCCAGAGTGCCAGGGAGTGCTTAAAAGATGCAATACTCATCTTTGAAGAAGAGGGTTTTTATCGTATCATTTTAGAGGTGGTTTAGGCAGTTAGGTATCTGTGGCTTTACGTTAGGATATTCATTTTTTAGGTGCTGCAAATGTTCTGTGCCTTTCTCTGGTGAGAGTGCAACTACAAAAGGTGTCTACTGAAATTTCTTAAATGATTGCTTCCCTTCTGAAATGCTGAGACAAATGCAGAGACACTTTCCTTGCCATAGCAGGGTAAGGGCTTATGCCATAGTTCTCTGTGCATTAGTGACGGATCTCTTTTCATTTCTTCCCTCTGAATGTGCAGCCCACGTTGCAACTGCCTTAGGAGGGATCATCTTCTTCTTCACCTACGTCCCATACCTGTACCTCATTTTCAGCTACCCCCAGAGGAGCTCCTTGCAAAAGATCGTGTCTTGTTTGTTCTCAAATGTTGCCATGGCACTGGGAGCCCGATTCATCTCCATATTTGAGGCAAAAGGTGAGGCCTTATCTTTTCCAAACTCTCTTTTAGCTACTTTGATGTTTTGCCATGGGCAAGGCTGACCTTTGTTTCCAAATAAACATAACTGGCAGATTTCATTCAGTGTTCTTCACATTTACGATTTACTTACAGCTATGGTAGGGACTGTGTGGGACACTAAAGAAATGTAGAATACGGTTCGCATCATACAGCTTACAATGTAGTTGGGGAGAAAAACTAAAGCATATTAAAGAATTAGGAAATTATGTGTGTATATAATTATATAAATATAAAATACTTAGATTTATGACTAGAAGTTTGGATAACATTTTGGAACTTTACAGATAATGTAGTGCTTTTTACATATATCATATTTTATTCTCATAGACTTTGGGGTCCTTCTCTTACAGGTTGGTTTAGGGGACCTTCCATCTGAGGTGTTCTAGCTCCTTTATAACTTCCACAGTTGGAATGCAATCCCAAGTTTTCTTTGTCTTTATGCTTCTGAAGTGTGAAGAATTCCTCAGAACATCTACATTTCATTGCAGGAGATTACAGCCTGAGTATCAATCAAAATGCAGGACCCATTGAAACTCTGTGGGGCTTTAGTACTTAGTGTTTCCAATTTCAATGGTACACTAAGGTGATATACTGTGAACACTCTAGCAAGTGCCTTCATTACTCAGCGTTAGCTATTATCACCAGAATCCTGGTTCTAGATATTACACCCTGGCTTAGAAGCAGATAGTAGGAATAGGAGTTTTAAGTTGGATCTAGTTTGTGGATCCCCTTGTTGTGATTGTAATAATCTCCAATTACCTGATTAGAGGCATCACCTACCAACAAATTTCTTTAAGTTGGGATGGTCCAAATGGGCCGTTGGGTTAAGACTGCCTAAAATATAATAAAGAATGTGAACTTGGCCAGAATTTATTGAAAGTGAGTGGTTTTCTTTAACAAAGTAATATGGAACCACAATTTAAAAATACTGATGGGAAAAAATAGGTTTAAAATGGTACCTCTGATTCCTTATGTTAGGGAGTTAATATGAGTACTTTGTGGGGCCTGTCTGTTGAAAGTTGAGGGAATTTAGGTGAGAGATTTGACTGAATAAACTCTTAGTTTTGTTTCCACACTGAAGTTTTCTTGGTTTGAAAGCATACTGCCCCTGTTGATGTTGTGATCAGTGTTCCTTCCTGAAAGGCACAGAGTGGCTCACAAATGCCGTCTACGGTTACAGATGAAGGAACGCAGATGTGTATGATCGCAAGCCGGTACAAATATCTAAAGATATGGTTAGTGAAATGTGGGAACTCCAAGGACAGTATTTTTTATTTAGAATCCTTATACTTTTGCTGCATTGAATTTTTCTGTTCATCTGACCTATCTGCTTAAATCAGTTTCAGGCATTATAAAAAGTGAGTGAACTGATGAAATTCCCGTATAAATTTTCTCAATACATCTAGTATAGAGCTTTCCATTGTAATCTTGAGCAGGAATCACTATATACAAAGTGTTTCAGAGCTCTAGGTTGGAAGTTAATTGGCCCACTCTGTGGTCATATAACAGAAATTTTTTTTTTCCTTTTTGTCTTTTCTCGTGACCGGTAACGGGATCGCAACCCTTGGTGTCGCACCCGCACCACGCTCAGCCAGTGAGCGGACTGGTCTCCATATGGGATCTGAACCCTCGGCGGGAGCGCCACCACACTCCCAAGCGCCGCACTCAACCGAGTGTGCCACCGGGCCGGCCCTGACAGAAATATTTTATCCTCTTCTTAAAATCAGGATTTGCATGTTTGTGAAGCAGCTGGGTTTGTCACTCAAGGCTCTCATTGATTGGTTTATTTATTAATTCATTATTTGCTAGACTGTTTTTAGTTTTAGAGTGTCTCGATCAATAGCATCCTTCTTCCCTCCTTAATTTTTGAATGAATCCAGAGGTAAAACAAAGGCATTGTGATATTAACACCAAAGTGTCCGTTTTATAACTCCTAAAGACGACTTTGGATGATGTAGTTCAGCATGACAGCCAGACATACTTACTGACTCTCTGCCTCCATCTGAGATGAAGTTCGAGCCAGGAGACCAGACACTCCTACCCATTTAGCTGCTTTTCATTGTTCTAGAATGGAAAGGAAAGAAGAAAGTAATGAAATTTCACGCCTCCCTGGTTTAGGCATTTTGACAAATTGATAAATGTGGACCTGGTTACTCACCAAGTATTATTCTTTTGTGGGAACAGAAGCCTGTGGGGCAAGAGGCCAATAGGTTTAGAGAAAAATCGCTCTTGGAAAGAAGAGGGTGAGGAAGAGGCATTACCATCTAGTGACAGTAAACCGTAAGAGCAGGGATCCAGTCTATTTTCTTTTCTACCCTGTTTCCCCAGTGTCTAGATTAGACACTTCCCTAGTGTCTGGTAAAATGTTGACACCCAAATATGCAATGTTAAGTGAATGAGTGAATGAATAGGACCCGCTGGCTTTCTGGCCAGGAGGTGTCCTAGTCAAGTCTCTACTGAGAGGAGAAGCTGGCAGTGCTCCCTCAGGAGTCATTACAAGGAGAGGTATCTTGTGTCTTGATTATTCAGATCATCTCTCCTGTTGCAAATAGTGAGAAATAAGCAATTTTTTAAATCCCTTAAGAGAATCAAAGAGTTAATGCAGGTACTAAAGAACCACCTGGCCAAAACCTTAGGGAAACTGCTGATCCCAAAAAGTAAACAGCACCAAAGCCACTTTTGCTCAGAGGTCAATTACTAACAGGAAGACTTTGGGCTTCTATTTGAATGGCCGATTGGGAAAAGGGAGTTAGACATCAAGGCCCAGGGTTCCTCCCAGGTGGAGAGCATACTAGGAGACCCTCTCCACATTAATCTGGGCTCCCAAGAGCTACACCTTTAGAATAACTGTGACCCAGAAATAAATCCAACAGTCGAAGGTTAGGCTCTCTGTGACACAGACTCTGAGATGGAATTCAGCTGCAAGATATTTATTAGGGAGTACCCTTGGGATAACACCTGTGGAAGGCACGGGGAAGAAGCAAGATTGGGCAGAGGGAAAAATTGAGCTACAATATAGTCCTGACAGTCTTGGACAGTTCTAGAGCTAAAATGGTCCATCTGAGTGGCCTGCATTGGGCTGAAATGGACAGGCCTTTATACCTCCATCAGTCATTGGATATGGGCCAACCAAGAAAGGGCATGACCTTGGGCTAAGCAGCTGTGCAGCTAAGACATCCCTAAGGGGCTGGCAGATAAAAGGCCTCTGCCATAGCACTTCCAATGGTTGAGGCAACAACTTTCTTGAAGGGGATCAGGGAAGTACATCTCCATGTCCACCTACCATCCCTTTATAACCTAGAAGACCTCAGGGAATGTTGCCGTGGTGCTTACCATATCATGGAAGGAAAACAAAGAAAACAATTGCCCCTGAGAAATTGTTGCAAGCTAGTTCTTCAGAGGCATTGCAGTCCAGGTTCATATTGCATGAGTAGACCAGGTAACTTTAAGCAGTGAACCAATTTAAAATTGTCCCAGAATGATAAAGCTCCTACAAAGATGCCTGGCAGAAGCAGCTGCACACGCTTTCTGGAGGAAGGCACTTTTATCCTCTGCCATGAGGAATCCTCACAGATAGTTTTTCAAGGGCAATAAGCATCACAACAAAAAGTAGTTAAAGACATGAAAAAATAAATCACTGTAGGTGAGAACCAACAGAACCAGAAAAAAAGTAGAAACAGGTTCACAAAGGCCTCACATTTTTGAATTATCAGAACACAGATTATAAAACAATGCTTACTATATACTCTTTAGAAAGACAAGCTTGAAAATATCTGTAAGAACAGGAACAATTAAAAGTGACCTAGTGTTAAGGTTTGAATGTCCCCAAAACTCACTGAAGCTTAACCCCCATTGTAATAGTGTTAAGAGGGTGGGAAATCAGATTATGGTTTTAAAAGGCATGGCCTTTGGGATGTGACTGGATCATGGGGACTCTGTCCTCATGAATGTATTAATCCATTCATGGATCCATCCAGTGGATTAATGAATTAATGGGTTATCAGGGAGTAGACTGGGGACTTTAATAAGGAAAGGATGAAAGCATGTGGAAATGCACTCTTGCTTAGCCATTGCTGTGTGATACCCTGTGTTGCCACGGGACTCTGAAGAGAGTTCCTATCAAGAAGGGGATGTGCCCCTTGGCCTTGGACTTCCCAGCCTCCAAAACTGTAAGAAATTAATTCTGCTTCTTTATAAATTACCCAGTTTCAGGTATTCTGTTAAACACATACACAACTGTGATAGAACACTGCCTAGTACACTTAGGGAGTATGAAAAAGGATGAAATAATAAATACTTCCAGAAATGCAAAATACAGTAACAAAGTTAAAAACCTAGTGGATGAGTTAACAGGAAATTTGAAACAGCTGAAAGGAGAATTAGTGAACTGAAAGTAGGTTAGAAAAAATAATCCAGAAGGCAGCACAGAGGATTAAAAAACTTTAAAATATGGAAGAGAGTGTAAGAGACATGCAGAAAAGAGTAAGAAGAGGGCCAACCCTTGGGAGAGAGTGGTGCTGATAACACCAAGGCCACGGGTTCAGATCCCTATATAGGGATGGCCATTTAGCTCACTTGGGAGAGCGCGGTGCTGACAACACCAAGTCAAGGGTTAAGATCCCCTTACCAGTCATCTTCGAAAAAAGAAAAGAAAAGAGTAAGAAGGATATACATGCATTTAACCAAAGTTCCAGTAGCAAAAGAAAGAGAATGGGGCAGAGGAAATACATTTAAAGAGATAGTGACCAAAGTATTCCCAAACTAGAATTTGGGAAGCTGAGCAAATCCCAAACAGGATTAATAAAAAGATGAATAAGCAGAAATCAATTCTAGACTTATCAATTAAAACTGAGCACACCAGAGGTCAAGTGAAAAATCTTAAGAGTAGCCCAAGAAAAAAAGACAAATTGCTTTTCATAGGAGCAACAGTGGGAGCCTGAAGACAGTGATTTTATACA